TTTACCTGTATAGAATATTTTCCTTCCTAATGTTCACATTTCTTAAAACCACATGCACAAGTATTTATGTAAATGTTTAGCTGCATCCTGGACCCACTTTCATCTATCTAGTGGTTGCTTGCACTCATGTGTGTGCTCACACACACACACACACACACACACAAAGTATGCATTTGTCTCTGAAAAACTGCCTTTAATGTCCTGTTGAAGCCAAAGAATCAAAACTTCAAGCTAGTGAACTAAATTTGCAGAATCACTGCTTGGGAGCAATAACGTTTCAAACAGGAAATTAATCCAATTACAATATCCTCTGCATTATGATCTCTGTGTCCTTGTTGCTTTACCTGGAACCAAATCACCCAACAGCTTGCTGACTGTCTGCAGCGGTGCTTCAAAAATCGCTAGTCAGGGTTACTGCCCCCATGGAAGGAATGGGGCAGGTAAATAACCCATGACATGCAGCCCCTTAGGATCAGCTAGAGAAAAATGAACCTTAGGCCAGGACCCCAAAAAGGAACATTCACCACCCACCCTCTGACAGCTCCCATTTTCCTTCACAGACTCCCCAGGGATGGCAGTCACAGAATGAGGCAATCCCAGTGCCAGCCTCAGTTTCCCAGATGTCCTGGAGTACTTTGTCTGGCTGTTTTTTTTTTTTTTTTAACCAAATAGGAGTTACAAATATAAGGCAAAAAATGCAGGCGGGTGACAGAGTAGTAAGTCAATGATCTGGAGGGCCCTCCCACCAGCAGTGTGCCCTGCCCCTTGGGGATACTGTTACGTCCTGAGGTGATGAACTAAATGTCCCCATTGACAGTTTCCTGTGAAATCCTGTTCTTCAAGGTTGGAAGCCAAGCCCTGTCCCACCAGCTCCACTTATAGGCTTTGCCCTTGATGGACTTTAGTTTTACTGAGCTAATTGTGTGTGTGTGTGTGTGTGTGTGTGTTTCAGATCAAATGAGGTTTTCCGTTTTCTTTAGCTTTGTTTTTAAACTCACAATGAGAACATTTTTATAGGAGAGAACAAATGACTATATCATCCTTAGCATGATTTTCATTCCCCCCCCCCCTTCTTACTCCCCTTTGGTATTGTTTTCCAGACATTTGAAGACAACTGTGGCAGGGAGCCTTTGTTTCCCTAATGATCTTGTTTCTTGTTACTGTGGAGGAAAATCTCCTCCTTTGCCCTTTTGCATGAATACTGTTACTAAAAATTGAGATCTGGTCCTAAATCAGTCAAGAAGATAAATGTAGGCGAGAATTAGTGGAGGAACAACAGCAAGGTAACAGCCCCTCACAGGGCTCTCAGGGACTAAATCAGGACTGAGGAGCAGAAGTGCAAAGGAGCTTTGAAAGAGAGTGAGTGGCCCCCTGTCCTCGCCTTTTCTCTGCTGCCCTACTTGAGCACTTCTATGTTCCAGACCCTGAGGATTCAGCCCTCAGACACGTGGCAGGCAGGGTCCTCAGACGGAGAGCTGTGCTCCACCTTCTCCTCTGCTTCAAATGCTGGCCCAGTTGCTGTGTCTTAGTCAATGCTCCTCCTTTGCTACCAGGAATCTCATGTTTCTGCCTTCCTGCTATCTGGAATAAGGTGTGAACTAGGATAGAGATGGTAAGGCCATTTACCAGGGTAGGACATGGGCCTGAATACAATTGTTTGTATCTCTTTTTAAAAAATAGGTTTTTATTGTCCTGGCTAGTGTGGCTCAGTGGTTAGAGCTTCAGCTCACACACCAAAGGGTCACAGGTTTGATTCCCGGTCAAGGGCATGTACCTGGGTTGCAGGTTCCATCCTCGGCCCTGGTCAGGGCACATGTGGGAGGCGACCAATCGATGTGTCTCTCTCACATTGGTGTTTCTCTTTCTCTCTCTCTATCTCTGTCTCCCCCCCTCCCCCTCTCTCCCTCCCTCCTTTTTACTCTCTCTAAAAATCAATGGAAAAAATATCCTCAAGTGAGGATTAACAACAACCAAAAAAGTTTTTATTGATTTTAGAGAGAGAGAGAAGAAGGGAGAGGGAGAGAGAAACATCCATGAGAGAAAACCATTGATCAGCCATCCCCTGCATGTCCCCTACTGGGGATGGAGCCTGCAACCCAGACATGTGCCCCAAGTGGGAATCGAACTGGTGACCTTTCAGTGCATGGATAACACTCAGCCACATGGGCCAAGGCCACTGTTTGTATCCTGAAGTGGCCATTCATTACACAGGTTTACCAGCATTCACACCTGACTGATCTTAGGGTGGGTGATAAATGTCAGGAGGTAGCTGTAACGATGCAGAACAAAGTCCTTTCTCTTGGAATTCTCACCAGTCCATTGAAAATCATTTTCTTGCATTAAGTAAAATCATGAGCAAAATGAAACTTTGTAAATATGTGAAAGTTAAATTTAAAACCACTTGAAACCTTATTACACAGGAATGTTTTTGTGTGTTTTTCAATCCTCTCCCAAGGATATTTTTTTCCACTGCTTTTTAGAGAGAGTGGAAGAGGGAGAGAGAGAGAGAAACATCAATGTGAGAGACACACATCGATTGGTTGCCTCCTGCACGTGCCCTGACCGAGGCCAGGAATCGAGCCCGCAACCAAGGTACATGCCCTTGGCTGGAATCAAACCCGGGACCCTTCGGTCCGAGAGCCGACGCTCAAATCACTGAGCAAAACTGGCCGGGGCCACAGTAATGCTTTAATGATAACATCTAAGACAACTGGTAAGAAAGCAACTTGAGTAGTAGGTGATTGTGAAATACACAGAAGTTGAGAGAGGAAAGAACGAGATAAAGAAGAAAATTTAAAAAGAGACAGAAGAAGAGTAAATATTTGGGAAGTAGGGTGGAAGTTAGAGGTTTTGGGGAAAGTGAACCATTTTCTTGTGCTGGTCACATGAGAACAATGTGACCAGCAACACACATATGACTTTGAGGTACACACTTCACTGAATGCATCAGTCTAATATCGAGGCTCCTAAATATCAAGGGGGACCTAAAGAAGAGATCCTAATCCCAAATAAAATGTTCCCACCCTGGTAATATATAAAGAGAATTATTGTGCACTAACACCTAAGCTTATATTCACTTGTAGAATGTCCTACACGACCTAGGGTTTCAAAGATCACTCCCACTTTCAACAATATGGGAGCTCTTAGAAAATACTTTCTTTCGTCTATTAAATTTTCTTTGAAATACCAACAAGGAATTCATTACTTAAAGGAACCCAGACATGCATTCTGCATGATAACTGTCCTGTTCAGTCTATTTCAATTTTTGTTAATTCCTTAAAGTGGGACATACCTATTTTACATCTTCTCCTTTGCCTTCTATCTCACTTTCCTTGGTGGTTTTTCTCCTCCCATCTGGATCAGGGAGTCTCAGGTCTGCTGCTGAGCCCACGTAGCTACAAGATACAGCACCTCAAACTCTACAAGCTCCAGAGAAGGGGTTCAGGAGCTGGGAAGGGGCAGCCTAGAACATATGGTTCTGAAGCAGGGAGACTGATGTTTAGCCTTGGTGTATGGAAATCAGCTTCACTGCTTTCAAGCCATACCCCAGACAAGGTACCTGGCTAACGTGGCTGGAGTCTCCTGACTTCAAGTCACACCACTTGTACCATAGGGGATCTTGAACCCTAAATCTCCCATCCAGTCACCCTTTCCCTCCCCTGAGTTGGAGCCCACTGGACACTTTTTGTGTCCACTCTTTGGAGAAGGTGTATGTTCTTCACACTCTTACCAGACCACCTGCCCAGGTTTTGGGCCTTGTCCGTGCTGATGCTATGCGCCGATGGTGTAAATGCCATCTTCCCTCTGCCTGAGCTCTCTTCTCCCAGACACTCCCATGGCTGGATCCCTCACTTTATTCAGGGCTAAGCTCAAATATCTTCTCCTCTGACAGGCCTTTCCCACCACCAAATCTAAAAAAAAAACCCCACCACCCTCGAGCTTCTTCAAATCCATCCAGAGCACAATTGGCCATGCCCGAATCATGTACAGACACATCTGCAAGGAATAATATCCAGAAACCATGCCACACACCTTCCTCGGGTGTGTACATCAGTCACACATTGAAACTTCATGGCATAGAAAAAAATAGTCTTTTACTATTTATTTAACAATAGAAAAGCATAGACTTACAAGTTTACAACAATTAAAAAATAGATCCTAACAAAAAATAGATACATGGCTGGGAAGGAGGAGTGTCATCTAGTACAGTTCTTCTGCAGAGCAATCCAGTGATACACATCAACAGCCTTCAAAATATTTGTATTGTTTGTCCCAGTGATAAGCATTGAGGACATTATGCTATGTGAAATAAACCAATCAAAAAAGACAAATACTGTATGATTCCACTTATGTGAGGTACCTAGAGCAGTCAATTGCATACACATAAAGTAGAATGGTGGTTGCCAGGGGCTAGGGGGGATAGGGAATGGGGAGTTATTGTTTAAAGCATACAGAGTTTCAAATTGGGAGGATGAAACATTTCTGATCTTTCTGTCAGCTACTTCTTCAACTGGTCTCAGATTCTGTAAGGTCTTATTTCTAGGCATACTTTTAAATACTCTTGGTACCTGGGGAACCAGCTGTTTCTATGACTGCATCATCTTATCAGTTCTTAGATAAAATGCAGGTGCTCAGCCACAGAACTGAAAAATCTTCCACGTGATGATATAAAGCCACTTATCCAAGGTCACTGGACTATGTTCTACCTTCCAGTCATGTGAATAACAACCCATGGTGACTTTAAAGGCTTGCATGAAATTTCTCTGGGGAGAAACTCTTGTGACCTTAAAAAACAGTCCTCTAAAAGCAAACAAACAAATGAACAAAACAAAACAAAAATAGTCCTCTTCTTTTGCCTCTGTAACTTGTTTCCTGAGCCCATGCAGCCCAGGGGGCTCACTTTTTCTACCTTTGTGACTTTCTAAATAAACTTTCTCTTATTAAATAGAGTAGAAAATAAAAAATAGTCCTCAATGCCCCTCCCATTTTTGTTCTCTTACCTTGTAACTTGAGTTCTCATTCCAAAATCCAGTGACCTCATTGATTGCAGCACTTCAATACAGCCCATGTACTAGAATAAGAAAAGAAGAGAAAAAAAAAGAACAGGTAGGAAAAAAAACAGCACAAAGATGTCTAGTTTTAGAGTGATTTCCTAGGAATCACCTTAAGTCAGCTCCTGCTATCATATAACATTTACACACTCAGCCTACCATTAATTTCTGACCATTAATGGACACATGCCTTAAACTTCAATTCAGTTATAAAACATCAGCTAAAGCCAAAGGATGACATCAGGAATGTAGTTAATGAAGACAAATATGAATTCGATGGTTAAGAGCTTGAGCTCTGGGGCCAGACTATGTGAATTTGAATCCAGGCCCTGATACTTATTAGTTATGGAACCTCAGCAAGTTATTCAATATCTTTGAATCTCAGTTTTGTCACCAGTAAAATGGGGATACAGTTAGAATTGTGAGAGTAAATTATTTCATACAGATGTCCAAAGAGCAGCACGTGGTACATACATGTGTTCAAATATTAGAGAAAGTAAAAATAAATGTGAGACCAATAATATGGAAACACTGACTCTTCTAAGGGGATAAAACAAGCATATAAATGCAGACAATATAGGATTTAGTAATATAAGAAGATCTTATTTTTTTGCAAAATCATAGAAGAAGGTTTAAGAAAAGACAAAACCTTATTTATGTCCTACACCAGGAATGAGTAAATTTAGTTGAACATGAAATATTAGAAAAGGAATTGTGACTTATAGAGCTCAAAGATGGCTTATATTTAATGTGGTAGCCATGGGAGCCAAGTCAGGCTGCTGGTAAGAGACTGATGTGATCAGCCTGTGCGTGAGGAGCCTTGTGTCAGCAGCCGTGTGAAGGAGGGTTAATGGTGAGGGAGTAAGGGAGAATGTCTCTGCCGAGAGGGAAGTAATGACCGCCCACACCGCAAAGGGATGGTGGCAGTGGGAAGGAGGGGACAGATTCAAGTGGCATCACGGAAATAGATACTACGTGATTCGTGAGTTGATTTGATCTAGAGAATAAGAGAGAAGGGTGAGTCAAGGATGACTCAGACGTTCCCAGCGAGGGGTAGCGGAGGGAACAGTGATTCCATTAACAGAGAAACAGGAAAGCCACTTCAGGGGAAGATGAGTTGGTTTGGGACCCATTGACTGAAAGACACTGGGGGGTATCCAGGAAATAACAAGCTGGCAGTTGAAAACTGGACTCTGGCATTGTGGAGAGGAATTAGGCCTGGGGATGCAGACCTAGCAGTCGGCTGTGCAGCTTTGCCCAGGTGGGGCTGGGGAGTAAATCCTCTTAGCAGAGCCTTAGTTGATGAGTGTTTCTCAGCGAATGGGCTCGGAAATGTTATGAGAGCCACTCGGTCTGATTGAAAGTGATCTGTCGGCTCCTTGAAAAATTACCTGCTTCCTGTTTAGCTTTCCTTTGGAAGTTGTCCAGCCTCCCTCTGCGTGGAAATGGCAAAAGCAGTGTGGAAAGGTGGCAGGAGCCAGGGGTGCCTCCCCAGACACTTCGGGTAGGATATCTGAACAAATTCTGTAGATTTAGCATCCTAAGAGCAGGTCAATCCACCAGGGTTGCCTAGAGCCTAGGGTTGGGGAGGGTGCGCTGGCCAGGACAATCACCTGGCAATTTTCAGCCACATTCCTGTTCATCACACTCCTCTTGAAGTCTCTAGTATTGACAGAAAAAAATTTTTGAATGTCTTATTCTGTCCCAATCACACTTAACTTCCCAAGGCTGGAGTACCTCAGGGAAGTAAGTGGTGTCTAGAGATTTCTGTTCAATGAACTGTAAGACTTAGTAGGGTAGGAGAGCTAGATTTAGGGGGTGTGGTAGACAGCCCTTCTCAGAACTGTCATGAACTGAGATTCCAAGGGTCCAAGGGCCACGTCAAGGTGGGTTGAAAAGATGGTTTTCTTAACCTCACTAGCTGCCCTGGCTTTTCCTGCCTATCCGTGTCTTCTTCAGTTCCAGAATTTACCTCCCGTTACCCAATTTCCTGCATGCCTCATGCTGGAAAGGATGGACTCCCCACACCGGTGGGAGACGGGTCTCAGCTACACCTCCAAGCCCTTGTCCGTGCACAGGTGGGTGTGATTTTTCCCTCTAGTGCATGTCATCTATTTAAGATGAGGTGACAGCCTATCAGGGCACATCTTTTGAAAACATGACCAAGCACCCACATATTTCACACTCTGCCAGAATGATTTTTCAAAAATGAACAGCAGAACACACCCCTTTACTGCTTAAAATCCCTGGCATTTATCCTCAAAACAAACTCAATCCTATAAACCTAGACCCTGGGTTTTCTGGCCCTGCTTGCCCCTTACACTCCATCTGCATCACTCTCCCCCTATGCACTTTGCTGCCACAGGGGTCTTCTTTCTAGTCCTTGAACACACCTAACTCTTTCCAAGTGCAGGGCCTTTGCACTTGCTGCTCCTCTCCCTGCATTGATAGCTCTGCCTAGCTCTTCCCTGTAGCTCTTCAGGACAGACTCCTCATCTTCAGGTTTTAATTCAAATGTCACTGCCTCAGAAGCTCCCCCCACCCTTCATCACAGCCCTCATCCATCACCTTCATGACTATCAGGTTTACTTATTAATTTGCTTGTTACCTGTCTTCCTTCCCTTGGCCCTAAGCACCATAAGGGTAAGGACCATGATCTCCACTGTGTTCCCATCACTTGAGACAGTGCCTGGGACATGGAAATGCTGGTGAAGAAATGACTGCAGCTTCTATTGTTCAACTCCAACAGTATCTTTAAAGTGAGCAGAGGGAGGGAGAAGAAATGGAAAGTTTCACCAGGAATAAGTGAGGAGCACACAAGAACTGAGGAGTTGGAACGAGATTCAGGAATTGTAGGCGAGGAGGACAGTGGAAGGTTCTAGATTTTTAAAATTTCCTCCACATGTGTTATTTTTGCTATTTCCGCATCTGAGAGATTGACAACAGCCTAAACAGAGAGGGTTTCGTAGTGAAATGGACGGTGGGGAGAATGGTGACTACTCCTCAGGTGTCGTGGGAGAGAAGCCCTCTTGGTGATGAGCCCTCCTGTGCCAGGGACAGTGTCTAAGTGGGGCAATCCCAATAGGGGAATTTTTAGTGGACAATGAGAGAGGAGGACAGGGAGAGGGGACCTTCCACGGTTTTCTTCTTAATCCCATTTCATGGTGCCAAACACCTCATCTCCTTCCCTCTAAGGCTGACCCAGGCAATGCTTCTGATCCCACCTGCCTTCAATGAAACCTCTGTCTTGCTTTGCCAGCAGCAGTACAGGTGACACCTTCTGGAAGCCTCACTGAGATAAACTGGAGTTTCTGAAGAAAGGTGAACCATGGGGTGCCCAATGGGAAGGTTGTCTGAGCACAGCTGAGCTTCGCCACTTTCTTGCCACCCCTGTAGGCCTCTCGGACAGGCCTGAGGTGATCATGACAATGAATGAGTACATTTCCCCTTCCACCCTGGGCCTGTGTGAGGAAGCCATTCTAAAAGGTGAAGGAGGGAATCGATGCCTAATTGTTGCCACAACTACCCCAGATACCAGAATGGGGTTGGCCTCCCCGTCGACTCACTCAGATACCATTGCTATGAGGGAGCAGGGAGTGAGCAGCACATAAAACAATCTGTCCACTTCTTTGTTTAGGTACCTGGTGGCTGCGTAAGCGGATAGTGGCTGAATGTCAAGGCCTGAGGGAGAAGGTTAGGTTGTTGATTTAGGTATAAACTGGGGATGGTAATACCTGTCATTCATTTATTAAATGCAGATCTGAGTAAGACATGGTCTATGTTCTTAAGAAACTCAGCCCTCTAAGGACAGGACAACTGTGAAAGAGATGACTTTTCTTTCTGTGAGGTTAGTCATTGTCCATTCCATTTAATAGATGAGGAAATTAAGGTCTATTACAGGAAAGTGCCTGGCTAGTTTCATTCACTCAGTGAGACTAAATCAGGGTTTCTTCTAGCGTCCAGAGTCCATTTCTGGGGCTCTGTGCGTAAGTCTGGTATAACAGGAAAATCAAAACAAGAAGGGCTCATCTAGCTGACTCTTCTTTGGTCTACCCAGGTAGGTAAGAAGGTGACGAGCCTGGGGGCCACCTGGTAAGAACCGGCATGAACCCAGGCTCCTCTGGGGACTGCAGGAGGTGGCACACGAGACAGAACACATTCCCTAATTCCTGACCATAAGATGAGGAGAGGACACTGAAGACCTTTATTAGAGATGCCCAAGGGTGGTGAGAAAGTGGTGGATCTCAGCAGTGCTCAGACAACCTTCCCATTCAGCACCTGACAGACAACTCACCCAACTCCCAGCTCACTCGCCTGCACGCCCCAAGGCAGTAATAATATTTTTGTACTGTCTGAGCTTCAACCACTAGCTCCCAGGGAGAGGTGAACAGCCTATTCATGACCATGTGTATCTTGGGCTTTGCATTCCAGAAAAGAAATTACTGGGGTTTTCAGAGAAAAGGAATGATAGCTAGCTTATGGGAACTTCTCATTCTGACTCTTTCACAGAATGATACATTCTTCTATCTTCAGAAAGAATGTCTGAAGGACACATAAGAAACTGTTAATAGTGGTTACCTCTGGGAATGGGAGAGAGGCAGCTTTTCACTTATTACTTTACATCTTTGTATTATTTATATTATAAAAAATAAGTAGGTAGTATTATTTAGGTTTTAAAAATTAAAGCCTACCACTTAACCTCTAGGAACCACAGTTTATTAATTACTAAGTAGAGTTAAATCCCTTTTTCCCCCAGGGCCATATTCCCGTCCTTAGAATGTGCCTGCCCCTGCGCTAGGGGTATGGAGGGATGTTATTCAAGAGAAGGTACAGGGCGCAGGTAGGTCCTGTCCTTGACAAGACAAGGGAGAAGGGTGCTTTGAAGCCATCAGGGCCCTGAGAACAGTATATAACCAAGGACAACATGACAAGGGGCTGACCTTCATGCAATTAGCGTTCAACAATGGTAGAGGTCACCAATGTGGCCTGAAGACAATGCAAGGTTTTTTCTGCCACCTTT